AAAAGGAGATGAGAAGTAAGTTTAGAACAATCCTCCAGAGGCTTTCTGTAGCCTGTTGACTTCTCTCCTAGTACCCTAAAATGTCACTTATCATCTATTTTGATTAAGCACAGTTGGGAATTTATCATAGTGATTTGATCTGATAATAAATGAAAAGGAGAGTCTCAACAAATCTCAGAAGCACTTCAATCACAAAACTACAAATGGATCCACCATGTGATGATGAAGGGAACTCTCAATTTAGAATGCTTCATTCCTTCCCGTGAGGATGGATGCCGTTGAAGGAAGTTACCAATTCTCAAGAATACATTGGAATATAAGGCAAGGCCATAATTAGATGACTTAAACATCCAAAGGCAGATACTGGAGCAATACGAATCATATAATGAAATCAGATAATTCTGTGCCATAAAATAGCATAGGTATATTTAGGTAAGGATCAATCAATAAGGCAGGTAAGGGAAAAAAAAGCAACAAAATATTACTCTATTTCCTTTAAAGAAGGCTCTATGTTTTAGGGCACTACCACCATACCCAAAAGTGGCTCATGACCTTTGACTCAATGAGGATAGAAAAGAGATGGAATGGCAGATATTTAGTAACATGCAAAGTGAGGAACACTTAAATAGGGGAGCCTCCTTAGGTTCCTCGCAAACATAAAATGCAAAGCTAAAACTTATAAATCAAAATTACTAGTAAATCCTAAGGTCAAAAATAACAAATGTCTGCATGTGCGTGCAAACAAGCACAACAGAATCACAAGGACACTGACTAAGAACTTGAAATTTGAAGCATCACGATGCTTCATGGTGAAATCCATATGCTGTTGTATTTTGTCGGCTAAGATGTATGTATGCAAAGGAGCTCCTGCCTCAAGTTGTCCCATTGTTTATGTTATAAAATAAGTTGCTTACGATTAATCACCTTAGTTTGATTACTATTTCTGAACTGCAATACCCTAAAAAAGAAATCAAAAGAAAAGTTTCTATTTGTGGAACATAACTCCATGAAGGATAAGGATAAAGATATGGTGAGGTCAAAGGTAGCAATAGCCTGATCATTTGGACGAGCATGTTGCAATGGTTTGATGATGCATGGTTAGGCCCGACTCTTTACTTAGACAATTGTCAATTTAAGGAGGCACAAGATGAAACCTGTGAGGTTGAGCCTCACAGGAATCCACTTTCATAACCCTAATCTAAAGGATCTAGAAAGAAAACGTAATAAGATTTGGAAAAACACACCAAAAGACCATTTAATTTTAGTACAAGGAAGTCACAATCACTCTTGTGTCCCAAATTCCAAAGTTGTAAGAGTCTCATTGACTAGACTCAAAGTTAAAAAAAAATGAAAATAAAAATCCTCGAACGTTGTGACACACCCAAAGCATCGAATTTGACATTTAATGGCTAAAAGAGTAATTGTGACCTCCTTGTACCAAAGATAAATGGTCTCATAGTATAAAATCCTATAAGATTTTCCAGTTGGAGGCAATTGTATATAGAGATGCTGTATGATATAATGATTCTGTAGGCAACACAATGACTATGGTTTCTCAGTGAAAATGAGTTATCTTCAAGACACAGATGAGACTCATCGATCATTTTGAGAAGAGTAATACCATAGCACATGCTTCCCCTCCAGGAGTTCTCAAGAACCAGCCAAGTAGGTTTTAATGTTAGTCGACATGAGGACAATATTAAACTATTATGAGAATACACAAAGCAATTGGGATTGCACTTAGATGCAAATGCATTCTAAAAAGATATTTGATAAAATGACACAGTTTATCATAGTCATATGTACTAGAAAGTGAGCTTTCTTCCCCAGAAGATGGATGGATTTTTTGGGGACATACTAGATTTCAAAGCCTTGTATTTGGTGACCGAGGCAAGGTAGCTCCTTAGCAAAATAGGTTGGCAAAATTGGGTGCAGACAAGAAAGAGGAGAAAGCATCGTATTACATACCTGCTCAATTTTTGGTACATTTTCTCTAAAGTATTGTTATTTACACAAGAAAGGTTATTTTAGTGGTTTTATGTTGCAACTACATGAAAATAGATAATTATGGAAAAATGACATATGATATACATGAGCCATAGGTGCACTCAATTCAGGATGAATCTTGATTTTGTCATCTATCACAAGCACCAACATTTGCGGGGGAAATAATAGATACAAGCAAGAATAAGCTAAGGAATAGAACTAATAGCAAGTGATATTACATTCATGAAGAAATTGACCAAATGAGATTTCTAAACTGATATTTATGCACTCAAAGTGTGATGATTATGACATAGATCAGCAATTTCTGCAATGATGCCTAGTGACAAAGAGATGTTAGAATATTTCACAAAAATTTCAGTTGGTTGGGGCATTTCTTGTACATCTTTGCGGAGATAGATAACTAGTAATTTTCATGAGAACATCGTTCCTCTGAAAATGAAGTCAGCAAGAATAACACAATAGAGCTAGATATTTGTTTATTATTTTAGGGGATTGTCTACAAAGACACCATTTGCTTTTTGCACAAGGAGGTCACAACTATTCCCACTAATTAGATGTCAAATTGGATAGCTTGGGGTGAGTCACGAAGTCTCGAGAATTTTTTTTTGGAACTTTGTGTCTATTCAATGACACTCTTACAACCACCCATTTTGAAATTTAAGGGACAAGAACGATTGTGATCTCCTTGTACAAAAAGTAAATGGTCTCTTTGTAGACAATCCCTTATTTTATTTTTATAAATGAGACCAAATTTCTCTTTTTTGATATGATGTGATTTTGAATAGTGTATTTCCTGTAGTAAACTGGCCAAGCCATATTATGTAAGTATTCTAAAGAATCGGGCATTTAAAAGTTAGACCGGTGAAAGGGAAAACTTTCTCATAGAATCCTTGGTTTCCTTTACGTTAACCCTGGTGAGTAGTCGAATTTATAATCAAATTATGAATGCATCCAGTAACCAATAAGTTTTTTCAATGAGATGGATAGAGCTATAGCACATATAGTTAATATTCGGTAAAGATGTTCTCCCTAAAACACAAAATTAGGCATCAGGAAGAGTATATATGTGCAGCTTTGTAAGGACAAAATTAGGGAAGAAAAATTAAGGGACCAGTGAGGAAGCAATACTGCAAGTAATAAACAAAATTGCAAGCACTAATTACCAAAGAAAATCAGCAAATTAGAGCTCAAAATTAAGACGTTAAGTTTGTTTCGTTTGTATAGATGAGTTAATCAGGATCTGGCATTCCTAATCATCAAACTAGAAGTGGTGGTCTTCTTTTCCTAAAATGCAGAGTCATCTTTTTATGTGTATTCTACAAATTGGACTCCCATCTAAGATATGTAGAAGTCAACCTGTTTGGCTGTTTCATAGTCTTTACACTTGGGTGATTAAGTTCCAAGGCTCTAATAGTAAGAACTATTGAATACTTAAAACATACAAGGCCTATTAAGGAAAAGAAATGATACATTGCATTTAATGTATCGTTTCATGTCAAAACTTATCCAAATAAGTTTTTTTTTTAAACTGTTGACTTTGTATTAAGTAAAAGGAGTGTACACATTTCAAAAAATAGGCTACCCACAGAATGGGAGATCTGTACAAAAACCATCGAGATGGTGGCAGTATCAACAATTGGTATACAAGCATGCGATAACAAAAAATCGGGTCTCGTCCAAAACACAGTAGCAAGTGCTCTAGAGAGACACCTGGGAAGCACCCTCCTTAGCCAGGGCATCAGCCAATTGGTTGGCCTCTTGCCAAGTATGCTTACATAAGACCTGAGTATGCCTGCAAATGTAAAAAATCTCCTAAAAACTGCTGGTAGTCTCCAAGGGGGAGAGAACTCACGTGAGGCCGAGGAGATGATATTTCTAGTGTCACCCTCCCACAACCAAAACAGTGCTCCTGGTGGGATTGAAAATTTTTAGGCCTTCCAAGAGTGCACAGGCTTCCGCCGTTGTGGAGTCCACTTGGCCAATGGGAAGGGCAAAGGAGAAGAGGAAAATTCCTTCATGATTCCTGAAGATGCCCCAGATACCCGCCGGGCCACGGTTGCCCAGAGAGTACCCATCAAAATTAAGTTTGGTCTGGCCGGGTTCCAATAGTCTCCATAGGGAAGATCGGGGGGATAGGGCTGGGCTTGTGGTGAAGGATGACTAGCCAATTGTGATGGAAATCGAACGTGGAGAGGAACTTGAACCGTATGTAATTTTAAATAAGTATTAAATTACAGGAAACTCTGAATAAATCATGGAGTACAAAGTCTTTCTTCCCCAAATAAGAAGTGAAACTCAATATGTTGAGACATAATTCTGGAGGTAAATTTAATAATCTATAAGATAGACCCATTGTTGTCATAACTTTAGACCCTATTGAGCGAAAATGTTTGCTTGATGGAAGTTCATAGGAACACGGAAATCAATAGACATTAGGGCCCTTGTTCATTTATTACCTCGTAAGAATACCAAATATTTATTTACTTCCTTCTGTTCCCCCTCCCCCCACCCCAAAAAGAAAGGAAAATCTTCATACCCACCTGCACATATATTCAGGAAAACGGCAGAAACAAAGAATCTACTTTTTTTTATAAAAAGAAACAAAGAATCTATTAATAAAAACAAGTAATAACTAGACATATTTACAAGCTTTATATGACTGGTTCTGATGCTCCGAAGTTCTCAAGAAACCTAGAATTATGCAGATCTTCTCCATAAAAGGTCAGGTCAACACCAAATTCTCACTTTCCACAGATGCATTCCATAACAATCTAAATGAGATGCCCATTCCAGAAATCATCATTTGTACGACTAAAAAATGCAAGTAACTATAAAGTTAAAGCACCACAAAGCAGATAAGCAAAATCGAAAGGACGAGCACTGATATCCAAACAACAATTCTATAACTATCAAATTGTATTAATGAGTTGCAAAATACATGACCATACAATTCATCAGAAGTATCAAATAAAAATTGGGAAATTGACACTCACCAAAGGAGGATGAACCCCTCTCTCCATTTCAAGTTCAATCTGAGTCCTTCATCGGCATGATCAACAACCCAAATCAACCGAAAACAAGATCAGCACCAGAAAACCCAATCCTCCCAATGAAACACTCATTTAAACAAAACAACCACAAACGAAAAATGAGACAGTACGAAGAGGAAAGAAAACCCAATCCCAAGTTGTAGAGTTTAAGGTCAATGCACCCAGGAACGGGGAAGAAGAAGAAGCCCAATACCAGAAAACAAAAATAAAAATAAAAAGAGGAGCGACAGTATACAGAAGATATGAGAGAGAGAAATAGATTTCCACCCCTCACACTGAACTTGTGTGCATAATTGTAGCCCAAACTTTCAACCAACTAAATTAAACTCCAAAAAACTCATCCACCCTCCCATAAAAACAAAGGGTAGAGAGAGAGAGAGAGAGCGCTATGGGAGACTCGATCAATCAACTAAGACTCAAATATTAAAAAGCAAATCCATCTCTCATCCCCACCCCATAAAAAGAAAAAGAGGGGACAAACAGAATTAGAAGAGAGAAAAAACACTCACTGTAACCCATTTCCCCGTAAGAAAAGAAAAAGAAAAGGTCTTCGGTAGAGAGAGGAAATGGGTTTTGTTATGGAGATAGGATGAGAGAGCTTAGAAGAGAAGAAATGGGTTTTTTTTGTTAAGAGAGAGAAGAAGAGAGAGACATGAAATGGGTTTTATTACAGCAAGATTGCTAAGAAGAAATTGGTTTTAGACCTGTAAGAGGAGAAAAAGAACAAGAAAAGCATATATAATTTTCAAGAAAGAGATGGGTTTCAATCCATGGGTACCCACAAACCTAAACCACTATGTAGAAAAAGTTGAGATGGGTTGGCATTTTGCCCTTGGAGAGTTGCAGCTATGACCTATGCTTATATAGTGTCAGGGATTCTCTACTCCCATTCAATACCATATAAAAGAAAGAGACTCTCCAAAAAAAAACAAGTCAAAGAAGGAAAATATCACCCAATTTCATGTCATCAAACCTAGAATAAAAATAAAACCATATCCTTTGATCAATTGTGTGTCAAATGACCGTCAAACATATAATAAAAAGAAAAAGCTTTTATAGAGCCGAGGCTCTAAACAATCAAATTAGAGCCCACTTCAAAAATTTCATTAGAAGAGGTTGTTTTGATGCCCAAATATCCTCAAATTAATCATCTTGACATCAAGATGCATGGATATGAGAAAAAAATAGATTTCAAATTGTAAAAATAGTGCATCTTGTAACTCATTTTTGGATCGTCAATTTTCAATATTTTCATAAATCGACTCGATCTACACTATTTTTTAAGCTTTAAATTTTATAATTAGGGATGAAAATATCATTTAACGCTATCATAAAGATTTCCAGTATTGAAACCACATTTCTTAATACTATTTGAAAGTGCACTCTATTTTGATTGTTTAGCGCCTCGACTCTATACAAACTACACCCATAATAAAAATATGGCTAATGAGTTGACTTACAACCAATCTAATATGATAGCTTGGGTGTACCATAGAGTTCGAAAAAAATTATTTTGAAGTTTGAGTTTGGTTACTAAAATAAATACATCCATCTATTTTTATATCCAATGATCAAGATTAATTGTGACCATCTGGTCAAGATTAATAAAGATAAATAGTCTCATTATACACTTTTCCACAAAAATAAAACCATATACTTTGGTCAATTGTGTGTCAAATAACCAAATCTTATCTCTCTAAGTTTTACTTTGGTTTCCTTACCTTTTCCTTTGTTTTCTTTGCATTATTTTAGAGCTTTGGTGGGTCTTGGGTGGCATTTAATGACTCACCTCTCTGCCTACTCCACCACCTTTCCCTACCCACCTAATTTATAAGCCCCATCTCATATTTTTTCTGGTGGAAATAACATTGAGTTATTTACATCGATTGGATTACCATTAATGGGTTATTCTTCATACTGTAATGGTAAGAATAACATATTGGATTATGTTGTCCTTTTCATGAGAAATTTTGGGTTTCATGGGGAAAATATCATTTAAATGGTCACCAACATATTAAAACATCACATTTAACATTAATACGTTACTTTTAAGTTTCAGCGCGCACCAAGATATATAAACATCACATTTTACATTTTTAAGTTTGGCCGCGTATACTGTACTCCCGCAAGAACATATACTATGTATTTACTCCCTCTCTCAAAACCTATTTAAGTAGATTTTTTTGTTCCAAAATTTTTGATGCAAGAATTAATAGATAATTATTTTTTAAAACCAATGAATTTTGTTTTTTGTGACACTTAGATCTAGCTCTTTAAAAATTGGACGGTCTCTATTCAATATTAAGGCATTAGTTTTCTCTAGTACATAGATAATTTATTTTCACTTTTTTTTTTTTTTACTAAGATTAGTTTATGGGTTGTAGAGATTACAATCCCTAATTTTGAGATCTAAAAAGTATCCCTAGCATATGTTTTGCACAGGGACTAAATGGATAGTATACTCCCGTAGGAGTAGAAATGTTTTTGGGTTTAAGTTCCACTTAGATACACTCATCAAAAGTATAAATTAAAAAGCAAGCAAAGACATTTCCATAATTTGGTCATAACGTAGCCAAATGACAACAATACCCTGATTGTTTAAGGTTAGCAAGATAAAGCTATGATACGATGATAATACCCCTAGTTGATTGTAAACCCTTGTTCTAGTTACCTTGAACAACAATGGTCTTATTGTCACTTGGTTTAGGCCACTTAAGTTAGGCTGTAGTACTAAAATGCTATTACCCACTATTTAAAACTCGGACCTATGGGACATATTGCTCATTCACAAATCCATGTCAAATCGTTGGATTTGCAATTCAGATCGAGTTTGGATCAGTCTGTATTGGTACTACAAAAAATATTAAAAATAAATAATATAGGACAATAATAAAAATAAGGGTTACAGGGTGGGATATAAAGGGACGCATCCCAAAACCGGATTAATCTTGATTGATTCTCATCGGATCAACAATCTAGATTGGAAATCACTGGATTTTAAAACACCGCCTTTACCTATTCAAGATTTTAATCCTAAAGTAAGGGTAGTTTGGTCATTCTAACATATATTTTAAGGATGTAAAAGAGTGTAATGAAAACTTAGCTTATAATCATCATGACGCTCAATTGGATTATTTGACTACCATAACAATTTATTACAATGTTGCGGCTATTTAATTAATGTTTTGCTTTTTTTGTTTGTTTTTTTAATTGTACATGATCTAGATTGGGACATGTGAATTGTGTCTTGACAATGTAGTACTGCATTTTGGTGAGAGCACCTTCATGACTTTTGTAAGGAGCATCTTACATGCATATGCCTGGCAAAATCGGGAAAAGAAGGAAATATATGGAATTCAAAAGAGAAGGTCAAAGAGTACCAAAAAAATCAGTGTTTTAAAACTTATTAATTTCCATTAAGGATTGCTGATCCCAAATGGAATCAACTGGGATCGAAACAGTTCTGGTATAGTATGAGTCTCATCCCAACTCCCCCCTAAAACTCTCCTCTTATATTTTTTCCCTTTCTTTAAGCATATCTATTATTTTCTTGGGAATCCCCATCCCATATACCCATAATTTTTTTATTTAATTTTAAATAATTTTCTAGATCACGAATTTAGACCGATCCAAATCAAATCCAGATCACCACTTCAACGATCCAACATGGATTTGTAGGTAAACAATTCATCAGACTGATCCAGCTTTTAAAACACTACAAAAAGTAAACTATCAAACATGATCTACGAACCAAGTAAGAGGAGTACATGAGAACGAGAAATTCCCAACCTCAAGATATTTCATTACTATTTCTCTTTAACAAAAAAAAAATAAAACTTCCATTATTGTTGAAAGAGTAGAGTAAGAATTTAAACTTACGCACTCACATTGATTGACATTTCCATATTATTTGTTTTCTTGTTAGCCTTAAAGGCCATCAAAGAAACCCCACCTAGTAAAAGGCAACTTATTTTATATCTGTTCTGGTTATATAGAGATCACTGATTTGAGCCAGAATCGTCAAAGTTGGATCTGAATTGGGAGGTGGGTGGTTCCCATTGCGAATCATCCAATTCTCTCGGTTTTCTATTTTTATTTTTATTTTTATTTTTATTATATATTCTTTGTTTACTTTAGCTTGATCATGTTTGGTAATTGTCCTAGTTGGACTACCTGAATCTGAATCAGACTTTTGGCGAATCAAGGGCTAATTCCAATTTTTTTAAATCATCGATCCAATCTATGTGCTAGACTTGGATATTTAGACTTGGATATTTTTTTAAATCATCGATCTAATCTATGTGCTAGACTTGGATATTAAAATCTTCCAAAGAAAAGGCTTGAAATATTTAGAGAAATTAGTAGACTTGTTTTTATACTACATGGCACAAAGGTTCCTCAAACATCTGATGTCAACATCTAACATTTGGAGGGCTTCATTCTGTCTAAATTTTTATAGACTTTGAGGGGAAGAATACAAGTTCCCACTGATCCCTTTTTGAGGTAGAACACTCTAGGGAGTTTTCTATATGCATGCAGGATATAAAAAGATACTTTTGTCTACTTTCCCTAACTGGAATACCAAATGTTACTTATTGGGTTCTTCTCATTTGCCTTCTTGAACCCATGCTTAATTTCAATTTATTTTCCCTCTTTTCTTTATATTAGTTTATTTTTATTCATATTTGTGCAAACAATCTAGTTAAGAACTACTAATAAGACCCTGATAACCATCCTGCAATAAAACATTTAGAAAGATTAGAACAAAATACACGCAAATATCCCATGTCACATAACAAGAAGAACATCAATCTGCAAACCAAAGGAAGACATACAGAGACGAAAACACATAAATTAGGAATAAGTGCTTGTTATTGTTATGAAATAGTTACCTTTCACTGGTCATGGTATGCTTCAAGGAAACTGAAAATCTCAACAATATGAAGAAACTATGGTTTCTTCTACTTGGAATTAACCATGGAACAGAGAGTCCTTATAAAAGGGTTGTCTCAATTGCATTGCCTCTATGCTTGGCTTTGCATTTATAACAAGAAGCTTCGCTCCTTGAACCGTCGGACGGTAAAAGAAAAAAATTTAAAAATTATGTCAGACATTAATATCTGATTGCTTTCTTGGGGTAGTGCATTGCCATTTCTACTATTTACACTAGTCTTTTTATCCTATGAATTCGAAAAATTTTATTAATTGATTCCCCATATAGGCCATCTTGGCATCTTTCGTTGCCAATTTAAATGCTCGTGTGCCAAAAGCTCGCAAATAATAGGATTAGTTATTAATTCAATCTTATCAACACCATCATGTCAAGATAACCGTTCGAGATTCTTAAGGGGTATTTTGGTCATTTTAAATGCACGAAAAGTAAATCTGAGTAATAGCCTTTGTCAAATTTATATATCCAAGTAAATTTCCAAAGAAGTCCAACTTACATTTCTAAAAGAAGCTCTTGAAATTATTCATGCCAATCTATACAATATACTAGCTATGTAGTAGACTACTTGAAGCACTAAGAAGAAAAACTGCTATAAGTTCAATTTGGTCTATTATAATTGTTTTTTGAAGTCAAGTTGGTGTTTTTTGCAGTGCAGTTCAAATAACGTTAATTGAAATTATTAATGTCAATATATATTACCAACTAGAAATGTTGTAGGCCACTTGGACCACTAGCTAAAAAACTGCTAGAAGTTCAATTTGTACTATGCCAATATTTGAAGTTGAGTTGGCTTTACAATGCAGGACAAATGATCTGACTTGAAATTATTCATGTCAATTATATTACACATTAACAATGCAGTTGCCTGCTTGAAGCAGAAAATTTGCTCTATAATCATAATTTACTAAATTGGCTTTACAAT